GCATGGCTATTTTTTTTTGTATTTTTAGTAAAGACAGGGTTTCACCGTGTTAAACAGGATGGTTTCCATCTCCTGACCTCGTGATCCACTGGCCCTGGCCTCCCAAAGTGCTGGGATTACAGGCATGAGCCACCACGCCGGGCAACAACTCTTTATTATTTTATCTTACAAATAAGGAAACAGGCTCAGAGAGAAGGTAACTTTCTGAGGTTTTGAGTGGCTAAATATTTGAAATACGAGTCTTTTGCTCATGTCTTCCAGCTGCCTCTTGGATGTCTTGTATGCTTTTTGACAGGTACAGAATAGTTTTACACACACACAGACACACAACACAAACACACATGCAGGCTTTTTTTTTTTTTTTTGAGACTAAGTCTTGCTCTGTTGCCAGTCTAGAATGCAGTGGCTCAATCTCCGATCACTGAAACCTCTGCCTCCGGGTTCAAGCTATTCTCCTGCCTCAGCCTCTGGAGTAGCTGGGACTACAGGCATGCGCCTCCGTGCCCAGCTAATTTTTGTATTTTTAGTAGAGATGGGGTTTCACCGTGTTGGCCAGGATGGTCTTGATCTCCTGACCTTGTGATCCGCCTGCCTGGGCCTCCCAAAGTGCTGAGATTATAGTCGTGCACCACCATGCCCAGCTGTACATGCAGTTTTAGTTGTGGATTTATTGAGATATGATTCACATATCACGCAAGTCACTCATTTAAAGTATGTTCAGAGGTTTTTAGTATATTAGGAGTTGTGCAATCATTTCAGTCAATTGTAGAACACTTTAGTCACTCCATTAAACAACCTCATAACTTTTAGCTACCATTTCCTACTCCCCACCTCTCCAGTTCTGGGCAACCACTAATCTACTTTCTGTCTCTACAGATTTCCCTATTCTAGACATTTCCTGTAAATGAAATAAAATATTTTGTGGTCTTTTGAGTCTTCTTTATTCACTTAGCATAACGTCTTTAAGGTTTGTCCATGTTGCAGCATGTATCAGAGCTTCATTCCTCTTTAAGGTTTGTCCATGTTGCAGCATGTATCAGAGCTTCATTCCTCTTTATTTCTTTTTTTTTTTTTTTTTTTTTTTTTTTTTTTTTTTTTTTTTTTTTTTGAGACGGAGTTTCCCTCTTGTTACCCAGGCTGGAGTGCAATGGCGCAATCTCGGCTCACCGCAACCTCCGCCTCCTGGGTTCAGGCAATTCTCCTGCCTCAGCCTCCTGAGTAGCTGGGATTACAGGCACGCGCCACCATGCCCAGCTAATTTTTTGTATTTTTAGTAGAGACGGGGTTTCACCATGTTGACCAGGATGGTCTCGATCTCTTGACCTCGTGATCCACCCGCCTCGGCCTCCCACAGTGCTGGGATTACAGGCTTGAGCCACCGCGCCCGGCCATTCCTCTTTATTTCTAAATAATATTCCATTGTATGGATGTACCACATTTTGTTTATCCATTTATCAGTTGACGGACATTTTTGGGATGTTGGAAATTATGGATAATGCTGTTAAGAACATTCAAACACTGATTTTTAAAATTACTTTTATATAAAATTAAGTCTGCTTTTAAAATTATGACAAAGACTTTTTTCCCCAGTTCGAAATTCTCAACTAAAATTCTCCCTGATATCAGAGCAGCAAACCAGTGAACAGTTTCACGGACAAATGTACCTGAATGAATTTTTTTAAAAAGCGAATAATAAATACTATATTTAGCACTGTTGCTTATTAGTTATATAAAACAGCAATCATGCTAGGAAATTAGTAGCAGCATACAGCTCCAATTGAACACTGCATAGCAACCCAATCTATCGTTTATCACAGAGCTTATTCGGAAGTAAGTCTACTTTACTCTTCTAAATATAAACTCAATGAGCTGAAGCTACTGCAATAGGATCTGGCAGCAGAAAAGGTATGGTGTAAGTTTTCACTGAATTATTATAATTTGGTAGTAGAGAATATTTCTGTTTTGATCATAGTGACTGTTTTTGTTGATTATGTTGTGATAGTTTTTCAATCGAAAACAATACTGTGTAATATAAAATCTTACATTTTAGTGTATTCAACATTCAACAATTTTAGTTATGAAAGTTTCCTAAAAATCAGTGATACTTTTTGAAAAGCTGGTTCATGTACATTTTGTGAATATTTTTCAATAAAAAAGAACCGGATATTCACAGTATTTAGACCAAGGTGGAAAGCCTACTTAGTTTTTACTGATGAATCTCAACTTCTACTAGATTATCCTCTGTAAGTTGTGTCTATTAGTCAGGCTTTCATGGATGATTAACTTCTCTAAAAACTTCATGTTCATCAACACCGTGTTGAACTTGAAGCTGTTTTATCATATATCACCATTGCCTGTTTATTAATAGGCAATGGTGTCAGATAATCATGAAATTGAGAAGTCGCCCATCCATTTGGGTGGGAAAATAACCAACATCAGTTGTAATCCCACTAAGAACCGCCAGGGCGAGACGAAAGCGGCATCGCTTCCATCTTTACGTGGTCTTGGAAATGGTTCAGCACCATGACGTCCGCCGAAGACGTAGGTGTAGACGAGGAACAAAAGAGAAGACCCCCTCGTGGAGGAGGCCTTTGGGACCCGCCCTCCCCGAGCGCCCAGAGCCGTCTTTCCCTGACTCCGCTGCCCCCGGGGGCCGCAGCGGGTGCGCCCCGCGATGGAGCGGGCTGTGAAGGGAGTCTCCATGGAGTCTCCATCAACCGTTGAGGACCAGGAGACGGTGGCAGGCGGTGGAGAGGCCTGGGCAGGGCCAGCGCCCTAGGCTGCGGAGCGCAGGACGGCGGCGCCCAGGGACGCCCCAGGGCGGGCCCCGGCCCCTCCAACCCGCGGGAGCCCAGCTCCAGGGGAGCCCGCAGCTCCCTCCATCTTGGTTGATGGAGGCGGGGAGCGTTGTCTGGGTCTCTCCACCGTCGCGCCCGTCCCCTACTGCCCCGCGGACGCAGGCGCCGGCAGCCGGGGCTGTTCCCTTGGCCGAATGGCAGAGCCCAGTCGGGGCTTCCCGGGGACAAGTTTCCCGGCCCCACGGGGCTTGGTTTTGAAGGGGTCCCAAGTTCCCACAGCCGTTCCGACAAAATGGAGGACGTCGTCTCCTCCTGCTGCAGCCATGGCGGGAGGTGGGGGACTATTCCCCACGGGGCGCGGCGAGAGTGGAAGGGCCTCCACTGCCCCCAGCGCGCTCAGGGTTCCACTTCGCCCGCGGCCCCGAAAGCCCACTCGGCCCCACTCCAGCGCCTCCCCGGCCTCGCCCCTCGTGGGGGCCTTCAAGGAACTGGACAGGGAGGGCACTGGGGCATCGAGGCCGCGACTCTCCTCGGGCAGAGGCGTTGGGAGCCGCAGCCGCGGCCTGGGCACCCGGGCTAGGGCGAGGGCAAGCGGCCCCGCCGGAGTCTCCCGGGCTGTCTAAGTACCGTAGAGCCCCGGGCCCCAAGGGGCCAAAGCGAAGCCGGTGCGGCGGGCAGTGAATCTCGGGCTCCTGACCCTGGCAGACCCTATGGGTGGGGGCGGGGGACCAGCGGGGAGGGGACGCGACCGAGAGTCGAGGGCCGGCGGAGGCGGGAGTGGAACGGCAGGGCCGGGGGTGTGGCCCGCGCCTGACGGACAGCCCTTCGGACCACCCCACCGAGGGGGGGTCCTGAAGGACGGCCGTGGTAGCCAATGGGCGTGTCCGAGGCGCCCCAGCCCGCCTCCATCACCAGCCAACGAGCGCGCGGAGGGCGGGGCCTCCCCGGGCTCGGCCGCGCCGCCGCCTCCTCCGCCTCCTCCTCCTCACCAGCGCTAAAGCCGGGACTGGACCGAGCGGAGTTGTGCGTGTTGCCGAAGGGGGGTGGGCCGGGGGAGGGGAGGTTCGTTCCGCGGAGCCGCAGCCAGAACCGGGTGAGGCTTATCCCCGCTGTCTTTCCAGTCCAGGGCCGCCGAGAGTGGGGGTGGCTGGGAGCAGCGCAGCCTCCGGAGGAGGAGGCGGAGGCGGAGGCGACTGGGGAGGCGGAGATGGGTGAGGGCAGCCTCCAGAGCCTCCCACCGACCCGGGATTAATACCCCGCGGCGCGGCCGCCGTCGCCGCTGCCGCGTCGGGGCCTCGGGGGCAGCTCGGGGCTGTTCTCATGTCACAGGCGCCTTTGCGTGCGGCCCGAGGGGCTAGGAGAGTGCGGGCGAGGCCGGGAGGGCTGGGTGAGGCGGCCGCCAGCGGCGGGGGTCGCGGGGCTGGCGGGGCGGCGGGGCCGGCGGGGTGGGGGTGCCGGCCGCCCGGGGAGGTCGCGGGGTATTTTCCTTTCTCTCCTGCGGGGGGCGGGGGAGGGGCGCCCCGGCCGGGTCTGCGCTCTCGGGGCCGTACTGCCACCCAGCCCGCCAGAGCCGAGGTCCCCAAGTTTTTCGGGGCGAGAGCAGCTGCCTCTGCCCTGCCGGGTCCCCTCCTTCGCTCTTCTTTTCCTCGGCGCTGCGCTGCGCGGCTCTTGCTCCGCACGTATTGTTTGGCTGGGTCTCTAATGGCGGACGGGGAGGCAGCGCTGCCGGTCGCCGACTGCAGGGGGGGGCAAACCTCGGGCCCAGGGCAACTGCTTGGGGCAAATGTGGGCAATATCAGCCCAGCGGTGACGTGAGCCGCCCTTTACCTCTGAATTGGTACTTGGAGTGACGGGGATGACGCTGGGTGGGCAAATTTAGGAGGGAATACAAATCCCTTACTGGCGTCGAGGCAACGTTTTCCCTTCCCCCCTCCCTTCCAGGAGCAGGCTCGGTGTCCTCAGGCCCCTCTCCCTTCCAGATTTTGCCTTTCACAAGGGTTTTGGCCCCAGATACATATTTTGCGCCGTTTTGCCCCACTTACGCAGGAGGGGGCTGTTGTGCGCATGGTGGGGGTAATAATAGAAGGACCGAACCTCCTTGACCTCTTATTCCCTCCTCTGCCTCCTTCTGGCAGAAAGGGTTGGGTTCTCCCACCAGGTTCTGTGTTCTTGATACGTTTTTCATTTTTCCTCCTATCCCAGGACCAAGAATCGCCTTCAACCCTGTCTGGTGCATCCTTGGCAGAAAGTGAGGAGGAAAACACCCCCATTGTGAGTCTTTTGCCCCTAATTTGTTGCTAATAGAGGACATTGTCAGATTGTAGGGGTTCAGCCATGGGACCTGGCCCTCCCCGTTGTTTTGAGGGGGAGGAGCTTTCCCTTGGGTGGCAGCTGCCCCCAAGACGAAGCCTGGGTAATGGCTGGTGAGGCAGCTGGGAGTGGGCGCTGCTGTTTCCACCGCTGCAGACATCGCTCCTGCTGCTGCAATACCAACCTCAGCAACCAGACGACGGGCTTCTGCAGCTGCTCACGTTACCGGGGAGGAGGGGTGGTGCGAAGGAGGGCATATTTCTGGTGCCCTCTAGAGTTCCAAAATGGGAATTAAAGTTATTTCTTGTTGAATGCTATGCATGCAACCTTAACATTTTTTCTTCCTTAAACGATGGCTAATTGATTGAAGGGATTGGAAACATAGAAATAACCATTTATATTTTTGTTTATGTCTGTTGGAAACACAAATTTTGACGTTTAAGGCTCATAAGTTGCTAGATTTTTTCATGGCTTTGCTTAGGGAAGGGATGGAGTCCACTCCTCTTGTACTGTCTTGTTCTCCAAGTAGTATGCTGATCAGACCAGTGTACTGATCTGGTAACTTTTTTGGTTCTCCATCTTCCATGTTGACCGTCTTTCACTTAACGATCATTTTTGAATGTGTTAACCTGAGAATTATCATTTAATTTGTTGGTTTTAAGGCAACCATGTAAAGTACTAGAGAGGAAGATGAAGATAGTCAATCATATTTTCCTTCAGGCAGTTGAAACTAAAATATCAGTGAAGTCCATTGACAATTGATACTGTCACTTGTAGATCTCTGTCAGAGTCAGAGGTGAGTTATTTTTGCTTAAGTATTCAATCCACATGGTTCAAAAAATAGTTAAGAATTTGCTGAATATACATTGTGAAGGATGAACCGGGAATAGTAACTTGTGTTAAATATACATCATTCTAGGGACAGTCCAGGTCACTTTCCTTTAATCTTAGCAGGTTGCCCACAGGGCAATACAGATAGCGTGTATTGAGCTCTTATTGTATGCTAACCCAATTCCAGAATGTGTGTGGTTTTTTTTAAGTTTATCATGGAAACTTTAAATTTTACAAGTAAGAATAGTGTACTGAACCTCCATGTACCCATCATTCACGTTCTAAAATTATCAATACATGTCCACACTAATTTTTAATATGTGTCAACGAAAACCCAGTGATGTTGATAACCACAGTTATCAATTAGATTTTTATATCGCCTTGTTTCAAAACCAACAGATCAGAATTAACATAGCCTCTTTTTCAATGTGTCTGTACAATTTACAGTCTGTAATTGTTTTCTAGATATTGCTAACTTGAATGAATGTAACTTCTCTAATGAGTTTGAAATTCGTCTCAGGAATTAGATCATTCAAATACAATGAATCAAGGATTAGATCTTTCAAATAAATGGATGATGCTTATCACCACATATTTTCACTAAAGATTTGCCTGTCTAGGATTGTTTTCTTTGTTCTTAGTTATGTTGATAGGGGAAGCTTGATAATTGGTTATGTTTAGCAGATATTTGGAGAAGAGGAATGTAAAAAATGTAAAATCAGTACTTTTCTGTAATGGCAACATATGTATACTAATGGAAAGCAATGCTTCTTTTATGTAATACCAGAATGTGGTTCTTGTTTTGCTTAATGATTTAGGTTAGGATTGAACATTTCTTTACTTAAAAACATCAACTAGTGATGCTGTTACGTGCTAGACAGTAAGATGAAGATAACCTGATAATTTTTAATTGGCTTTGACTAAATAAGTACTTTTATTTTACACTGGGAACATATGTAAGTGCTTTTACATCTGTTTACAAAGTATTTTGACAGTTAAAAATACTTTGCATATTTATGACATCTTCCTTTACTGCATCCTATATATTCCGTCTCACCTATCCTTTTAAACAGTTGGAAGAAAGATATAAAGTGGTTCCTACTTTTCTGTGGACTGGGCTTTTGTATCTCATGTGGTGAGACAGCCCTGAATCACTCAGGTATGACACATACACTAACATATGAACATTTTTAACTTCTGTGTGGATACAGAGATTATCTTTGAACAACAGTGTTCATTTTTTAGTTTTATTGTATTTTGCCCTTGTTTGAGGTACACAGGTATACAAACTTAATGCATTTGAGACAAAGTGAATCTTTACCTTCAGTCAGATGCTCTGGTATTAGTGTGATGGGAAGAATAGATATGAAATGCTGAAACTCTTTAGTGTCAAAAGGTGTAGTATAATTAGAAATGTAATATTTTATATTTTCTGTCTCTAGCATTAATATGTCTCCATCCAATTTGGCAATATTATTTATATATCTTATAATAAATGCCATTTATTATAAGAAGACTTTGGGCTATTCAAATTGCGTGTTTTTTTTTTTTTTTTTTTGAGATGGAGTTTTGCACTTGTTGCACAGGCTGGAGTGCAATGGTGTGATCTTGGCTCACTGCAACCTCTGCCTCCTGGGTTCAAGTGATTCTCCTGCCTCAGCCTCTCCAGCAACTGGGATTACAGGTGTGCGCCACCACGCCTGGCTAATTTTGTATTTTTAGTAGAAACAGGGTTTCATCATGTTGGTCAGGCTGGTCTCAAACTCCTGGCCTCAAATGGTTCACCTGCTTTGGCCTCCCAAAGTGCTGGGATTACAGGCATGAGCCACTGCACCCGGCCTCTTTTTTTTGTTTGTTGTTTTTTTTTTTTGAGATGGAGTCTCCGTCGCCCAGGCTGGCGTGCAGTGGCACAAACTTGGCTCACTGCAGCCTCTGCCTCCCGGGTTCAAGCAATTCTCCTGCCTCAGCCTCCCAAGTAGCTAGGACTACAGGCATGTGCTACCACACCCGGCTAATTTTGTAGTTTTGGTGAAGATGGGGATTTTTAGTAGAGGGGAGGTGTCACCATGTTGGCCATGCTGGTCTTGAACTCCTGGCCTCTGGTGATCCACCCGCCCCAGTCTCTCAAAGTGCTGGGATTATAGCAGTGAGCCACCTGTGCCCTGCCTGCATGTGATTTTTTTTAGAGAATGCAAGGAGAGCCCAAACTCAAGTGTTTTCTCTCATTGGATTCGCAAATAGTATTTTATATAGCACATTTCAAGTTTAGCAAGAAATATATTGTTTTGACTCCCTGCATTTTCTTCCTTTAAAACATTTCAGTTGGTTAATTTTCTTATATTCCTGTCAAAGCATAGAACTGAACAGGACTTTTGAAGTATTCAGATCAAAAAGTTCTTACGCAGATCTCCAATATGTAAGACTTAAAAAGTTGTCACTGAGAAAAATTGCTGTTGGATAAATCCATGAATTTGAGTGCAGCGATCTGAGTAGCAGTTGCAGCTTATTTTCATATTTTATTTTGGTTGTATACCAGCATGAAATTTTTGTTTTATGTAGTTGGAGTTGCACATTTTTATTTTGCAACCTGGTTTTTTAAATAAGTCACTTAGTAGTCTTAGATTTCTCTTACTAAAATAGAGATATGAAAAGTATCTTTATGGTCATCACCAAATGCTTGGCAACAAGATGAGTTGGTCATTTTAAAATGTGTTAAAATTTGGATTATAACACATTTGAACATATCTGTTGTTTTGTGCATATTTTAAGATACATTAAGGTGGGGCGCAGAGCCTGTAATCCCAGCACTTTGGGAGGTTGAGGCGGGTGGATCACCTGAGGTCAGAAGTTCGAGATTAGCCAGGTCAACGTGGTGAAACCCTGTCTCTATTAAAAAAAAAAAATACAAAAATTAGCTGGGTGTGCTGGTGGGCACCTGTAATCCCAGCTACTCAGGAGGCTAAGACAGGAGAATTGCTTGAACTTGGGAGACGGAGGTTGTAGTGAGCCAAGATTGTGCCATTGCACTCTAGCCTGGGAGACAGAAGCTCAAAAAAACTTTGTCTTAAAAAAAAAAAGATATATTAATTTTTTGGTGTCAAGCTTTACATGATATTTGAAGCAATTCTGTGGAACTACAGAATGAATTTTTTAAAACAATTGAAAATCTATTTAGAGTTTAAAAATTGATGTGCAGAGAGGTTAGCAAAATCACTTGATTAGCATGACTTTGGGATTTGTTCTTAGTACTTAATACTGTTTTGTTTTTAACTTTATAATAGCCCATTGAAAATTGGAAGTAATACATTTTAAGAAAAATTAATGGTCTTTAATTTGGAAGAAGGGTATAGCTGTTTTATTTTTACTGATTTGATTACTGTTCTGTAAGTATTCATGTTTGCTATTTTCAATAAATGACATAAGAGTAAACTGGTTGGCCGGGCTCAGTGGCTCACACCTGTAATCCCAGGTTTGGGAGACTACGGAGAGGGGGGGAGTCACCTGAGGTCAGGAGTTTGAGACCAGCCTGGCCAACATGGTGAAACTCTGTTTCTACTAAAAATACAGGCATGGTGGCAGGCAATTAGCCAGGCATGGTGGCGGGCACCTGTAATCCCAGCTACTGGGGAAGCTGAGATAGGAGATCACTTGAAACTGGGAGGCAGAGGTTGCATTGAGCCAAGGTCGCACCATTGCACTCCAGCCTGGGTGACAGAGACTGTCTCAAAAAACAAACAACAACAACAAAAACCTCTTGGATTAAACTTATTTCTCTCTAATCATACATTTAGATTGGATAAGAAAAATAACTTACATAGCTATTTTAAGTAAAATTGGGATGCACAGAAGTTGCAGACAGAATAATGTTTATAAGATGTGTCTATAATACAGTGAGACACATTCTTTTTACTTTACAGCAATGAATGTGTATATTACTCTGCTGTAGTCACCTAGATACCTTCTCTGGACTTAACGGTGTAAGAATTGACAACTAAAGTTTTGGGTTTTGTTATTTAACATTAAAAAATGACTTTTTCTTCTAATACCGGCACAGTTTTATAATCATTCGTTTCAGAGAGGTATGTCTTGCCTAGCAAGTATAGTGTTTCTTGGAATATCAGTCTGGGCTA